CCCTCGGTTTTAATATGACGAGCACAAAGACAACTTTCAAAAATTTAACGGGGACTGTGTCATTTTCAATGACTTGTTGTCAACCAAAATCATTTTCTGTTTTATATTATGTTAATATTAGAAATAAAAGTTGATAGTTTGTTAGTCATTATTGTATGGTACTCAAAAATCAGCATCAGTGAAAAGAAAAGTTTAGTAGGTAATTATTGGAAAAGTCATTGTGAGTGGGTCATTATTGCTACCGGTATATCATAGGTCTGTATTTTGGGGTTATTATTTGAAGTGGGGTCATTATTATGAAGTCATTGAAAATAAAACTCAATATTTGTTAATATTACTAGTACATGTATACTCGAAAATAAGTCTAAGCAAAATGACAGATCATGCAGGTATTTATATAGGGGAATGAGGGTATAGGGGAATAATAGCAGATCAATGTCAAAGGTCTGTATTTCTGGGTTATTAATGCAAATGAGCTAAATATTAGGGAGTCATTATTGGAAATAGAGGTCAGTATTTGTCAATAATTATTGGAAACAAAAGTCAGACTCAGTGGAAAAAAAGATCAATGTTTAGCAGGTAGTTATTGGAAAAAAAAGTTTAGTAGTAGTGAGTCATTATTGGAATCAGTGAACTGGTATTTTTCCTTCTTTTGTAATGAAAGTGACAACTGTGATCAGATTGTTATTTTTATTGTAGAGGGCAGTCAGTAAATGTGTTCAGTCACTTCCATCACAGAGTTACGCAACATTCAATATAAATGTGATTTCTTTCAGGTGAGTGTATCTGATTGGAACAAGAAGAACCGGATGGAAATAGGACCCATCAGCATGGAGTTTGAAATACCAAATTTTGTACTATCTCATTTACAGATCAGGTTTCTTAAATTGTTTGATCGAGAACACTCATATGTCCCCCTCAGATGGGTGAGATACGTTACACATAGCGATTCCTATGTTGTTAGGCTTATATGATATGTTAGGTGTTCCAAGATGTTGTCACCTGGTAAGGAGAAACATTCATCTGGCACACAAAATTTCTAATTGTTAGTGTGCTGTGTATCAAGGATCTACTGTAAAACATGTTGATTAAGCGACATGCAATTTCAGTGAATTGTGGTAAAATGACGTAATGGCGAAATGTTGATTTAGTGAATCTCTCTTGTCATTGTTGATTTTTTTGTTTGTTGACCATTTTGAATTGATAATAAGTCACTACCGACATCTTGAATTAGCGAATCAGTTCTCGCTAAATTCGCGAAAAAGACATGCTCGTGAAAAAGGCATGTTTTACAGTAGTTAGATTCTTGATAGTTTAAATTAAGACATTAAATGTTCTTAAATACTGCCATGAAATTTCTATATGTATATTTCGTATGTTTGATCTGTATTCTGTTAGCTGATTGTTTTTTTTTTTTATTTTAATTCAATTTTATGTAAAAATAAATTATTCATCTTAATTTGGAATTCACTGCATTTTATGAAATAAATAAACGTATGCAAAGAGTGCTACAATAATTTTTGTTATTTTACTTTGTTTGACCCTTCACCTCCCACCTGATAAGTAAAAAACAAAGCAAATAACTGTTAAAGAAATAATGTACAAGAAAATAAATTCTAGTATTTTGTTAATAAGCTTATTATTGTACATTATTGTTTAATGGCCCAGGTATACTATAAATACGCTCCTAAACAATAGGGATTATTTCCTTGCTTATCACGCTGTAGTAAACAGCTCCAGCCAAGCTCCGGTAAAAACAGTTTTCTGGAACTTACAGATCGATTATGTCTGCCAAAGTGGATGCATGTGACTATGAATATCACAGCAGTGACTGTGTGAAGTATTTATGACGATAAATGGTGTACGAGCTGAGTTTGGCGGATAAAAGTAAAAAACACGAATCGGGGAAGGGACGCGCTACTAATCTTGAATAATTAACTACTGTCAATCAAAGTCACGTGCTGTTGGACCGCTGAAACAGGATGCCTCATAGGCTATGCAAGTGATTAACAACACTCATTAGCATAGCCACACCTTCAATTCACACTTGCCCGGGTCAAGTGAATTGGGCCTTTAAAGACACTGGAAAGGAAAGGTTGCCTAAAAATATCGCTTTTGCTTTCAGAACTAGTTTGCCAACGGACACTGTCTTAGACATACTGTGCAATCATTTATCCACTAATATTGAATTTCACTATTTTGATGATTTTAGCAATTGCATAGGGTTTGGCAGGAAACAATGGGTTATATTGTTATATTACATGTTCTCATGGATTTAATTTAGCCAAAATGGAGAAATTAAAAACCAGTGAATAATTGATGCTTAAAGGGCGGTAGTCGTCGTGCCGCATTCTGTTCGATATAGTTCTCATAGCGACAAATACAACGCGTGTAAAATACATTGTTTATTTACATGAAATTCAAACATACGCTGTGCGACAACCACTGTGCTTTAATACAGTATTCAAGATTTGCATAACCGAGCCCAACACATGCACGAAAATTCTGAGTGCTCGTTTCTACTCGATCGGACTATAAAATAGGCTGTAACTGTTCTCTTATGCATTCTAATACACTGTCTTGCAAATGTATTTGTGCAGTCGCGTTACATTGAAACTATGACTCTGAAACTTGGAGATTAAATTGATACTGGTGGACAGTGAAATTGAAGTGATATTCCAGATGTTGTGTGAACGAGTGTTCCTAGGTGCAAACCCAACACTATACAATCATAAATTTAGACTGCGCCGTTTTGGTTTTTTAAATCATTCAGTCAGAAATGGTTACCCAGCATTCACTGGAATTTATGTGCTTGTGCATAATAAGCTATAAATGTAAATTCTGGTATTTTGTGAATATTTCATATAATGCTAATAATAATGCATATAATAACATACTGCGGTTCATTTTAAAATACAATATACAGGTTTAATCCAATAATGCACTTATCAGAGCCCTCCATTAAAGCTACATGGATTCATCTTTTAAATGCAGATTTTGTCCAAATTCCACCCATTTCTTGTGATAATTTCCCCCTCAGTTACACAATTTGTTTGTGTTTACCCTGCTCATCAATAATCTTAAGTACAGCATATTGCTAATACATTAAAGCAGAAATAAAACAAATTTTGACTATTGCACTATTAGTACAGCGCCACCAATGGTCAATTATTTTAACCTATTGTTTTAACCATGATCTGCCATTTATAATAGGATCCCATACACAATCATTCTTTGTAAACGCCCCACTCATTGGCTAATGAACACGCACCATCCAGCCAATCACAGAGTACCTTCCTTAATTGAAAAACTAATCATTTTTTTGGCCTTTATATCAAACAAACGCAAGTATCCTTTTTCACAGCACACATTTCATCCAATCACCAAGCACAAACATATGGGAACAAATACACAACACAAGTATGAATAATAATAACACAATTTTTAATTTTACAAGTTTGTAAAAGTGATGAGCATACATTGTGAATAAATATGCACTGGACAACTAAGAACAGGAAAAAAAAAATCACCAGAATTCCAATGTACATTTTTAATGTACATTCTTGTCCATTTCATCTCACATTCCTCGTAAATAGAAGGTAATTGAAGTGAGATCTATTACTAGGTATATTGCATGTCATGCTTGAAGGCGTGTCAAAGAAAACTAATCACAGCGAGGCTCAATCTATTTATCACATTATCCATTGAACAAAGTGGGAAACAAAATATCACTTTCTTCAAATCCAGATTTAAATGGAGGTATGACTTTTTTTTTTTAAAAGATTAAATGTGAAATTTTTGGAGATAAAATGAATGAAATGCTAATACTTTTAGTTATTGTATTCGCCTATACACTCAGTAGGCAATATGTACAGTAATAAATTAAAACAAAAACTAGATACAGAGACTTTTTTTTCCTAAATAAACTTATGTACAGTCGCACACTAAAGTAATATCTGCCACATTGTTTTTATTTTTATTATTGAATGAAAGTTAAGTGACAGTTTACCAGTAATATTACATTTTCATTTTTACCCGCACAATGATGTGGTTCATGGGCATGGCAAACTTATCCAGCGTGTGCGTCACGGTTAGCTTCAGCCATTTATTTTTTCTCCACTCAAAAAATGTAGAGAAATTAAATTTGTCTCAAAAGCAGATATTTTCTCATACTTCAGAAAAATCTAATTATCTATAGTATGTTGTAGAAAAATGTTTGGTTAGGTTATTTTGAGGGGGCGTGGGTATTATAGCAGGGAGGGTAAATCTTGGCACATGACTTTTTTTTCCCCTCAATCTACCAGCTCCCCGTAACTGTACACATGGGTTCTAGACATGTCCAGCATGTCTATTTTTTTTAGCATGAATGAATTAATAAATTATTGAGTTGAAGGACCTGATTAAAGATGCCTGATTTGAAATCAATAAGCGAGTTAAGGGGCTTGGAATGAATGTATGGCTCGCCATTCATTCTCAAGTTGGGCTCATTTTATACAGCTGAGGAGTACTATTAGACTAAAATTTTTTTTTAATAGGATGGAAACAGGCACATCATGAGAGCTCCACAGACAAACAGTTGCTCTAAGAAGTTACAACACAGGACATCATAGCATGACCATTTCTTGCATGTGCACCTTGGGTATTACCATAAAATCTGCATTAGAAGTCACATTTTTTTGAACAATTGAGAACCAAAAATTTAACATTACTCATATATGTAGATGCTACATTCCTTTTGTAATAAAAGCTGCGGCGTCTAATACAGATTTTAAAGTACGCACATCTTGCACAAGTGTGCAAATTTAAATTAGAGAGTGCTGCCACTGAGATGCTACATGAAATAATAGATAATAAAGCAAAGGCAGTATTGGTAACTTATGCCTTACATCGTGTGATGAACACGCTATTAAGTCCTTTGTTGTATTTCAATCTAATCCCTTGTTTTGAAATGTTACAAGGAATGAAACCGATCTGAATGAAATATCAAACAATCACCCCTCGCGAGATGGAACTGTAACATTGGAAACTAACTTTCTATTTTTGCACCAAGAAATTTTTCTACAACATACGATCTGTAATAAAAAAACACACACTAGGGTGTTGCCATAGCAACTTAAAGCAATGTATCCACTGAAGTGTAACTATTAAAATTCATAAGTTAAAAAAAAAAAGCCTACAAGCAGAAAAAAGCGCAAGTACACAGACATTTTTTTACTTTATTTCCATTACTGGTCTCCAGTAACTTGGTTAATTCAGTTTCCTGAGAGTTTTAAAGCTAGCTCCAATAAAAAAAAAATACACATGCAGAGTGTGAAAGATTGTGGTAAACTTGAGAGCGTGATAAGAACTTGTAAAATCCCAACTCCAAACTTGGTGTCAGTGAAACTATATATCTCTATACTTAAATGTAAATACAATAAACACCTGACAGTGGGCTGGGATGTGACAAGTCTCATTTGGACTCTCGGACCAGCCTCATTTACCATAGGTATCAAGATACAATGGTTACAATTATGTTTAATGTTTAAATTTAAACCTGGCTCTGTAAAGTTCATTCGTTAAATGCTATATTGTCACATAGGAAAAACAGTACATTATTTATTCACCTGTTGAAAATTGATCTTTTTCTGGTAATGCATGCATGTACACACACACACACACACACACACGTACACATGTGCCACTTGTTGAGTTACCCTTGTTTGTTGCTTGAGGCTAGTTTTAACAGAAATACGAGAAACTCCAGTTAATTAGGACAATTTGATGGCGGGTAGGATTGGGGAAGTTGACATGCAGACAGACGTACGTTGGACAGAATGCAATGTTTTCTATAGTGCCATATTTAAGTTATAGCATGATGAACAATGTCAATGTTACAAATCAGACTAAATGAGGATAAATACATAATCCACTCGTGCCGAACATGCAATGATGAATGAATGGTCCGAAAAAATGGTTGGTCCTTCAGAATAAATTGTAAAATAAGGTACCATCTACAATGAGAGATTAGAAAAGTGGATCTAAAAGACTTGAAAGTTTTGTACATATGTATGTATGTATGGATGTGTAATGTTGCAACTATTTGAATTATATTGCGTGTATGAAGATGAACAGCTAAATCTGGATGTCATGCAAAGGATACGGCCAAAAAAACAAACCATGCTATCAGCTAGCAAGAAATATACAGCTATGTTATGTACAACAGATTCTCCATGTGGACCCCTTCCCCTAAAAGCTGGTCATATATTTCATCAATACCTTTCTTGTAGAAACATATTAGCACTTGAGCCTATGGCTTTGTTTGGGAGCGTCCCTTTCTTTGACATGTTACCATGGATTGATCAGCAAAAATATTAAAATCACTTTGATTTTTGAAATCTTTTATAAATTTAGACCTTAGATATACCTACTAAATACAAAGTTGCTGTTCTTACAAATATGCACAGTTTGAAATTTAGGATACTACGAGGATAAATCTGTTAGAACTGTGTCTCTTGAATGCTTTTAAATGTTTTTGTTGTTGTTGAAAATATGGTTATTTTTTTGAATTTTATCGATGACACTGCGATCATGTTGCAAACAATGAGTAAAACTAAATTCAATTGCCAGTCAAACTTTCTGGGTACGAGTTTTAGAATAATTAAAACACATTTGACCCATGGCGGAGGGGAGATAGTGCAAAGACAAAATCGTCAAAAAACGCTCGAAACCAAAGCCATAGAACCCAAGGCTACTTATAGTCACTGATACTACCACAATGCACTTCAATAGCTTGTGTCACACGAAGATTTGTAAAATGTTGGGATTGTACCAACAAAATTATAAACATCAGATTTATATTTCAATTTTGAATATTGAATATTGAGAGAGATTGTGAAAATTAATTAACAGTGTTTGCCCGGTAATGCAGTATGGGAAAATCTGTCTGGCTGTGGCCCCCCAAACAACAATATCAGATATGCAAATCACAGTTCACTGAGGGGGGATGGATCTATTTAATATGCAAAATACATTCCTGAATCAGCCCAGAGTCCCGACTCAAGTGTTCATTTCTGAAGAAGTAAAAGAATAAAATAATAATAATATTTTTTGTTTTTTTTGTACATGCAAGTATTTCATTAAAACTCCACAGCTATCTTCTATTGTAAAAGAGATTGCTTCAAACAGTGTGACAATACATTTAAGATATCTGGTTCCCATTTTACTAGAATGGATTAAACTAGAAGTATTTACAGGCATAAAGCACCAAGGTTTCAATATCATCTAGAGCTGCCAACATTGAGAAGCTAACATCACCAGTACCCGTCTGTTCCACTATCAATCCATCCGACAGCAGCGAGAGTCTGTCTTTTGTCCGTCTGTCCATCCATCAGGTACAGTATGGATGTCAGCCTAATTAATAATTTAAATGTCAAGGTCAAAGTTCAATAATACATCTATTTACATGGAGGATGTCTTATAAGTTGTAAAATTAATCAATTGTTCGTTTTTTTTTTTAAAAAAAAGCTTGACTAGGCAGCTCTAAAAGCGTTTTTTTTTTTTCACTTTCGTTCAATGTTTACTATATACAGGATAAACCATCCATCAGGTCCCACCTATGCTTGGTAGTTTTCTCATCATAAATCGAGCCTGTTGAAAAAAAAATATGAAAAAAAAAATGTGTTAAAGAGATTTCTCAACATAACGTTTAAAATGTACCTAACACTGACAAAAACGAACAAAAAGTGTGAATTCACACTTTTAGGTTTTTTCGTGAGAATTCATTCCTACTTTTCTAGATTTTTACTAGAGAATTCACTTTTTAATGTAATCAAAAGTACTTTCTGTACCAACATTGTTCGTTTTCGCTATTGTTCCCATGTCAGGTTGAAATTGGAAAATCTGTTTCTGTTTTGTTTTTAGTTTTCATTCCACTTTCAAAGCGAGCAACGTAAGTAGCACATTCAGGATTTGGTTAATTTCACGCAAATATGTCCACATCACTCAAAATCAGTACAGAAAGGGGCAGTATCTGAAACTAGGATTTTGGATGATTTATCTTGTTTTAAATTTTCTTCCAATGTTGAAGACTGAAGCCACAAGCAGAAAAAACTCTGTCGTTTACTGTCATTGTGGGTGAACTATTACTAGTACAGTAGTATCGTGTCATTGACAATAAAATGAATGCGTGTTCTTTAGGTAATTCAACAACATACATAGGGAATGTTTTATTTAATACAAAATAAATCGCCATCACTAATGATAGTCACAGATACAGCATTCCTAACAACATACATCTACAAACCAGGTTAACTATTTGAACACTACCATTTTCTTGCAAAACTTTTAGTGCAACAGTTTTGCAAAAATTTTTTTTTTTAATTTTTTTTAATTTTCTTGCAAAACTTTTAGTGCAACAGTTTTGCCAAAAATTTTTTTTTTAATTTTTGACAAAAATTTACTTTGGCGTTTCAATCAAATTGAGAAACAATTTGTATTATTCATGTTCTTCATTTCAACACTTTAATTCTATTGTGACATGCTGATATCAGTTTATTAGAAAATTAATATGCACAATTTGGAATTTTCAGAAAAAATATTTTGTACTACCAAAATTTTCATTTCATCTGAACCAGTTGCTTCAACGTAATGACGATAATGTGCTGAAAACAATTGATATGCAAATAAAACAAACTTAGACCACAATTGTTATTTAAATTACAATAATGGACAAGAGTATATACCGGTACATAGACCCTGGGGTCTATGGTATATATCGTAAAAATTTTACCCACATTTAAATAATTAGTTTTGAAAAACAGTTGGGTTTTGAATTGAGATCTTGACTGGTCAAATTTTTAGACATTTTAGAAAATGTGAAAATCAGTGATTACAAAATTGTTTGGTGACATGCATACTAATAATTTGTTGTCAGAAAAAAACACTTTCTCAAAACACAATAAAGAAAGACTGACTGAGCAAGTAAAAAAAAAGATGTATGGTGTATTGTACAAGTAAAATACATTTCATCTCTGAATAAAAATAACTTGGTGAAACGAACACCAACATCAGACCGTACTTCAACTTTGCAACAGGCTATGCATTCTTTGTGATCGCAAATATTAGGAAGATGTCACAAGAGTTTCAGTTAGAAGCGGCTCATGTCCACTTTCCTTGTTCAGCTAGCTCCTGTGTATTTTTAAGACTTGCAAACTAATTGTGTCTGTCACATTTTGGCCTTAATCCAGAACTTAGTGAAACCTGTGATGTTTGAAACTGTCAATTATGTGGTTCAATTTAATAGAGGGTGAAATTTCAAAGTTTTACACTGACATGCAGGGAATCAGTTGTCTACTGCCCTCAGTGGTAACTATCGGTTTAATGTTACAAATCAGTAACCAAATAAATCTTAATATAAACTACAATATTGGTATATGTTCAACTAACATAGTGTATCTTTCAACCACTTCCTCTTGAGAATATGTAAATTTATTATGTTTTTTTTAATTATCTTACTACAGGAATTAAATCTTATTGAAACGTCTCTGCAAAAATATTTAATATGTTTCAAAGATAAATATTAGTTCAAATAAACAAAAAAAATAGGATAATAAAATGATGGTGACCTAACTTTGATTATACATTATCACAGAAAACTAAATGACAGATACCAATTTGCATACCAGATCTCCAAAATCAGTCATGTGCTATAATGTACGAATGATTATTGTTATAGCGCCACCTAGTGGTGAGATTTATTATTAGCTACAAACACTGATACTCTTACTGAGTTGTTACTGTTTGATTTGTTGTACATGTATGCATTGCATATAGCCATTGACAGAAAGTTTTTATGTGAACTGATTACAAAATCACAGCAAAGATCTGAGCTCAAATTCAGTACAAACGTTCTAAATGAGCAATTTTGTGATTGGTTGAGTATTTCACTCAGTGATTTCATGAAATAGATGTCCAATCGTAGTGCCTCTTCAACCTATGTTTCTGCTTTCATCCTTTGATGGGGTTTCTGCATCTCTAATTTTAAGATTCCATCACATCAAAAATCATCCGAAACATGTGACACTGATTTATCTTCAAATGCATACATAGATACCTCCTGAACCACTCAAAAGTTGGATTCCTTAGAAAATATTTCCTCTTTGAATTTATTATAATTTTGCTGTTTGAATGTTTTGAATAAAAAATGATTTGTTGTTAAAATATCTGTTTCATATAAACGACGACTAAGACCATTCTGAATTTAACTGATTTTTAACCTTTTCACCACCATTTCCTTTTTTTCATCACAAATTCACAAAATAGTCCCATCTATAGTCTGCTACTTTTCTTCAGAAGATTAGGACAAAAATAGCAAATTTTTTGTAGTAAAAATTGAAAATTTACTCAAATTTTGTCTGTTGGCTCCAAAATTAGGGTTCATTTCCAGAAATATTGAATAATATAGGAAAATATAAGAAAAATTTGGGCGAGAAAGTCTAGTGGTGAAAAGGTTAATATATATATAGCATATATATCTGCAATGGTAGTAGGCTTGATTATAAACTACTGAGCAGATTGGTTATTAGTCACTAGCCGGTCGGTGACTTCTCACTAACTGTCATGAACCAGTCTGGTAGCCAGCAGTGTTCAGAAATCCGAGATAGTAAACCTTCTGCACATTGCATAGTGGAGAAGCCGAGTGTCCACATATGTTACTGGCAAGTATTAATATGTTAATAATTTCACCATTACATTCTGGTAGCTCTCCTCATATCAAATAATACACATGATAAAGTACAATTTCATCTCATTTTGAATTTATTTGTTTAGAAATTTATTGTAAATAAATGAACTGAATTATGCAAAGCAACAACACTGAATGATCTTTAAAACACGCACACTGATTGGTCAACGAGACAAATGACTGACAACACAGAGACAAGACAAACGCACCGATTGGCCAACTATAACATAGTTCACAAAGTGGGAAAAAATATATACTTGACAAACAGAAACAATTTTACTTGTACTGAACGCAACTAAAACTACAAGAAACAGGTCATGAAATTGACAGTCGTAGATGACAATGCCATACGTGTCAGAGTAGTGGCCTGTTTAAAACAAGGGCCTAATCAGGAGGCAATAGCTATTGTCAGACAGATTGATCAATAATTACTTTTCAAGCTATTGTTTCTGGTGATTGTGTTGGAAAATCATAGCATCATCCCTTCCAAATAAAGTATGCCCTCAATGGCAAAAAATGACCATTGTGACCTCGAGGTCAAAGTGCAGCATTTTCCTACTCAGCCAATAAAATGTGTCCAATTTAATTGTCATATTCATTCCCATCCAAAAACATAGAATATCAATTTTAGATATCAATATCAAATTTTGAACAGAATTTTCTTTTTTAACTGGACTTTAAAATTGCTTTAATTTTGAGTTTGAGGGAGACAAATTTCAAGCAAAAAATGTGACATATTAAATGTACTAAGTTGTAAAAATTGCTGGTAGCAATGTAAGAAATGATGGGAAAACATTGGCATTTAAATGGTAGATGCTAAACAGAAAAGTACCTATGCCTATGTTTAGGCTGGATACAATAGATCCATGCCAGCTTGAAATCAAACTAACAACAGCACTTGGGATAACAAGAGACGATGGGAGTATTGGGAATTTGCCATATTTTGGGGGTAAAGTTAACAGAAGACACTTAGGCCCTTTTGCCTGAAATGATTGAACAAAATTTAAGACATTTAAAAACAAGCAGCCTCTCGGCTGAGATAGCTCCGCTGTTAGCAATGCACATTTCAATTAAAGAACAGAAGATATCATTAGAAAATGAACAATATGTATAGTATCAAAGCAATGGGACTTGCTGTTTTCAACAAGAATTCAAAAATATCATTTTTCACCATAAATGATTGTGGTTTTTAACAAGAAGTCAAAAATATCACTTTTTACCAAAAATTGACAAAATTATTCACCAAAATTAGAAAATTAAAGATATCATTACAAAATGAAGAAATCTGAGAGAGGTACATATGTAGTACCCAAAAATGTAATATCAAAGCAATTGAACTTGCGCTTTTTAACAAGAAGTCGAAAATATCACTTTTTCCCAGAAAGGACAAAAATATTCACCAAAATGAGAGAATTGAAGATATCATTACAAAATGAACAAATCTGAGAGAGGTCCACATGTAGTACCGATATATGTAATATCAAAGCAATTGGATTTGCAGTTTTTAACAAGAAGTCGAAAATATCACTTTTTACCAAAAATGACAAAAATTCATCAAAATTAGAGAATTGAAGATATCATCATGAAATGAACAAATCTGAGAGAGGTCTACCCAAGGTACATACACACCAAATATCAAAACATTCAGGCTTGTAGTTTTCAAGAAGAAGTCGAAAAAGTAAAACATTGACACGGACGTCGACGGACAATCACTCATATGATAAGCTCCGCTCGACAAAGTCGACAGCGAAGCTAAAAAAATAACAGCAAATTTCTGATGTCCAGTGAGCATCATGTCAAATAGAAAAATTATAATAGATAATCATGCTATCACAATTATTGAATTTTACCACAAAAATACTGCCAGATTGTTTTTTTTTTTGTAGAATCCACATTCTGTAATTCGTGTGAAACTGGAATAAATCTCAAATCTATAGCATCTTGGTTTTCAGCTTTAATAATCAGTCAATTTATATTTAGTTTATAAAAGACACTTTTATGATGAGAAGATGGGAGGAGGGTTGGCTTCTACTCGAACACATATGGCACTTAACTTAAGAAGTTTAACTACTGCTTGATAGTTTACTGCCATCTACGCTCTCTAAATTTCAATGTGATGATTTATTTAAAAAAAAAAAATAGAATTGCTTTGCTCAATTTCAAAATACGTAATAGGAAAAAAATAAAGAAATACCAGATTTAACTCTGGCCAAAGGTCTCCATCTTGTTTGCCAGACTTGGTAGTTTGGGAATTAGAGATTTGGTCTGAAGAATAGACGGCACAGCACATGTGGAAAGATAGAAAGAAAAAAAAACATGGGGGGTAATATGTTAGTGTCTGACACAGACGGTGAATCAGCGACAAGGAAAAAAAAAACATATACAGAAACAATGTAAGAATGAGATGCAAATATTATAAAAAAAACGCTACAATGTCTTCAGCACTAAGAATCAACAACAAGTATCGACCAATTCAAAGTGAAGAAACAAAGAGTACGTTTAAAGATGTGCACCATGCAAGACTCTTACAAATTACAGTGACAAGACACAAAGGATTCCATGCAATGTTGCCTTTTTTTTTTTCTATTTAGCAAAGAAAAGAGAAAATATACGAGTTTGCTTGTTAAAGATTAAAAGTTTGAAATATTTTATCTGGTATGCAAATCATCCCCGGTCTTAAGATGGTTGTTAAAAGTGGAAGATATGTGATACAAATAAGGATGAAAAAAAATGAGGTGAAGATGATGGGTGTTGGAGGAGAGAAAATAAAGAGAACTACAAGTACATATCTTTTTAGTGCGTATGGAGAAACAGAATAGTACCTTTCTCAACAGAATCTACAAAAAAAAGCAAGGATAAAAAGGAAAGATTGTCACTGACTCTTACATCGCACAGGAAATACCGAGCGTTTCTAATGAACACCATAGGATACAGTTAGAAGTACAGTACAGCCAAAATTAGTATTTACGGAATATTTAATAACTTTGACCAGACAAGGATAAACAAGTGACAATCAGTGACCAGCGGAGAGGTGGTCAAAATGAAAACTGTATAATCATTTGACCTAATACCATTTCGTAAAATACAATACACTTTATGAGTTAGTATTTAATTTTGTTTTAAAACTTTAGACAACAACTTAATTTAAAGTGAAATTTTTTTTACATCAAGCTAGTAAAGACATGCATCTATTAGTAAGCTGGTGTGGGGAGAAAAAGCCAGCCTGAAAATGAAACATTATAAAACAAGAAATAAAAAAAAAAAAAAACATCATCATCATGATAATATCTCTACCCTACTAAAGAAGCATAGTACTGCTAGATGATCTAAAGAAAGAATGAAATGTTGGAGCAGACAAAAGTAATCGTGGAAAAATTTACCCACATACCTTTTTCTTTGGATTAAGCAGCTCTCGGTACTGATCTGAGCGCAAGTATCGCGTGTAACTGTCGCTCTTCATCAACTGGAAGATATGGTCCATTGCGGGGTCAAAAGTATACCTTCCGGGATCTTGCATATTATCTTTAATGATTTCATGGATCTTGGAGTCTACGTTTATAGCACTATGTGCTGAGGGACAAAGAAACTCGCTGAAAATAAATAAATACACAATAAATTATATATCCTAATACCAAAAAGCAACAGCTGCCTGTTTTTGCTAATTTTGATCATATTTTTTCAATTGATGTGAAACAGAGTAAAAATACTGATACCGAATTATGTGACATATTTTATGATAATTACATGTAAATAGCTAAAACTATATTCAATGTTGCTACAACCATGTTACATGTATATCCGTCATGACGTAAAATGATGAGGATGAAATCGATAACGTATGTTACAATTTTTTCTCTACCATAATAAAAGATAATGTGACAATCAGAGTGCCCTCTAGAGGGGCAGTGATTTATTATTTTTATCAGTTAAATTATACTTTTTTTGTGTAAATTCTATTTTACAAACATTAACAAGATCTCACTCGTAAATCTCCTGTACTTTATCTGGAACCTGACTGAGAGAAGTCCCTCGAAGCTCTACACATGCTATCCAAAACCTAGAAATGGAATAAAAAAAAAATTGTGAATTCAAGCGATACTTTTTAAAACTTATGCAGGAGGACATTCAACTTGTCCAATTACTCTAGGTCAAAGGTCAAGTTGGCCATTTTGATGATTTTTTTTTATCATTCGGTTGTGAAAACTATAATTTCTGGAAGAATGGAATAACCTATTTTTTATTTTTAGAAATAACAAAAAAGAATGTACCATGAAGATCACAGGATGGAGAACCCTCAACTCACCTCAGATTTTCATCACTAAATTCTTTGGCTAAAAATTTTGCAAATTGTTCTCTGCCTAGGGGGTCTATTAAGAGTTCATCCAAGGTGAAACCCCATCTTTTGACTCTCCATATAGGTACATCTCTTAAACTCCTGGAAATCAAATAATATACCAAGTCAAATTCAAATCCATACACAATATAGGTGACATATCGCCAATACATGCGTCAATATGTTTCTTTGGCAAATTCAACATTAGTAGCGAGAAATATTTTGTTAACTACCAAATTTCAAAACAAAATTTCAAATTCATGCATCAGTTTGCGATATTTCCATATGCAAAATAGTGACTTGCACAATATAAAAATTGTTACTAGGTAGGTTAATTTTATTAATATAAAGCTGTTGTATTATTCGTGCTTGTATGAAAAATTGTAAACACTACATCACTGGATATGTGAGGAAAGCTTACATTGTTCTGGCGAGGTCCCAAAGTGTAGTATCGTCCGATATCCACGGATTACTGGGTTCCGAAGCTGTGATAAGACTATCATACTCACAGTATTGTTGACTAGATGCTAGTAGTCTGTAAGAAGTGACAATATTATAATCACCAAACAGTATGTAACCCCCTGATTGCTACTGTCTTCATTTGAAATTATCGTACAGAAAGACGCAAGATTAAATTGTTTCAATCCATTTCTATCATCAATATTCTAATCTGTCTGATTAAAAATTAAATTAAAATTAAAAATATGAAAAACATTTTACGGCATTTTGTCGGTTTAAAGTACAGGTCAATTCATTGTATCCTTTTTTTTATTTAAAATGCCGCAGTCATGTTGTGCCATGTTGGATATTGGTACCATGTGATGTTTAGAATATATGTTAGCTACGCTGTTTACATGAATTTCAAACAATGAATACTGTGCATTAAAGTCGTAGTATGCGATATATATTTTGTTTGTAGCCTTTGACATATAAGCAAGTATGTGTCACATACCGACAGCAACAATACGGTATTTGCAAAATATTCGGGTCAGAAGTTTTTTCGCAAATAACTGAAAAAATTGACAAATATTTTCGTAGATAATTGTGATCGAGTTTTTTACATCTTAGCGTATTATCAAGACCAATTGCACACATGACTTTCTGACCAATGGCCTGCTTAAAAATTGTGTATTCCCAATAGTTCAACTTGCGATGAATAGCTGTTTTCTTTACCTTTGCATTTCAGGCACATTCCTTCTCAATTTATGTCAATTGTCATAAATTACTCTTAATCTTTAGTTTCAAAATGTAGGTGGGGTTATAATTCACAAGCTCATGCTTGAGTGAGAACACTTTATAATTAATTAATTAATTAATGTGATTAACCTGGTCGATAACTGTTGATAGAAATACTCCAGGGTCTGGTTAATATAATAGTATATTATAAATTATTAACAGGTCAGGAAATATAATTAAAATAGACCTTATTTAATTATTCAAAACAGGATATATATTAGTAATCTTTATACTTACAGTTCAGCTATTTTGGAAAGCTTGTATTTCCTTCTTTCCAATCTCTTCTTCAGACCTTCAATCTGGAAATGATAATGGACTTTATACTATAGAATCATAATATTTTTCAAATGTTTTATTTCACAATTTTGCAACGTGGTGAAATATAGCCCGGATTATATGTCAGTTTCACATCAGATTAATCAAACGCAAAACTAAGAATGACGTTTCAAGAATGAATTACGGATTCATTATGCTGACTAGAGGGTGCCGCTAATGGAAATTAAAGATGTTTGATGTGTGTTTTTAATTTTCGCAATCTTTGCTTGTTTGTGAATATTTAATTTTCATACAGTAGTTTTTGTATATGAAAAGGAAAACATCAACAAGACTTTTCTGACAGAGTTGAAATAAATATTCCAGTGTACAAAAACCCATATCCTGCCAGGCCCATGTACCTTCACAGTGACTTAAACCAGATAAGGGCTAGAGTTCCCAGGTTTGTTACAAATACAGAGCTCTGCATATGTCATTCTAGACCTATTTTGTCATAATATATCATGTTATAAAAGTAGTCCGTCCAAAATGTATTTGTAACTTCAACCCTAAATACTGGAAGACGATTGGGTCTTAAGATTATCATGTAAAATTATCATTTAATTGCAGGAAACATTTGAGGATTCCTCGGATTCATCCATATTTCCAATCACTTTACAGTAAATTCAGAAGGGCCATGAATCTGTGTGAATCCATGCACAAATAGGAAGCCAAAACTATTGCCAACATTCAGATTCACTGCATATCTATAATATTAGGGCTAGTACATATTTCCCACAATTCAAATAAATTCAAACTATTGCTTATTTCACAAAATTGTCCCAAGACCTCCATGCGAAGAAATTTCATATACTGCAACTTTAAGCAAGTTGAAAAAATACAATTGTTCACTAAAAAAATATATGATATAAAATTGTAGTAAATACTAGTACATTGTTAAAATCACTAGAAGTTGCACAAAATCCTACAGTAGACTGGATGAATGGATGACAATAAGACGCATGCAGCTGTAAACATACTCTAAATGCGCGATTTGATTAAAAATTGACTGGAGGCAATCTTGTTTTATTTCTCGTGTCACTGAGCTCATTTCACAGACGTTCATAATTGACCTATTTTGCAAACACTTATTGCAAAGACGAGATACAATACTGTGGAATACTTTATTTTCGCTGGAATTAATTTTCGCTGAAAAGGCTTTTTGGGCGTTTTGTATGGAATTTATTTTCACTGATTTTTTATGAGTTTAATGGGAAATATAGGAAAAAAAGTATATTTGCTGGATTTTATTTTCACGGAATCATCCCTTCAGCGAAAATAGCGAAAATAAATTCCAAGCGAAAATAAAGTATTCTACAGTACATTATGTACGTCTTTTTAAAAATTTTTTTTTGATCCAATAAAATTAAATTAAGTGGCCAAGAGTTTATGAATTGTCAATGTAGTTATACAAATGGCCGATTATATCACTGATTTTGTTGGTACATGCCTGGCCGATTCCATCAAACAGAGGTCATACACAACAATATGGCAATTTGACTGTACTTAATACTGTGCGAGTTGTACCATTTTTTGGACATGCCAACATATACTTATGCACAAACAAGTAAGCAATGATGCGTATCATTTGGAAAGATTGCATGGGAAAGGAATTTTTTCACATTAAAATATTATTAAATATAAATATTCATAACAACAAATATGTCTTGAGTTCATACAAATTTTAAAATAAACTTTTGAATAAAGTAAACATCTGACATACTGATATAGTCTGGACAAATATGAAAGTCAGTAGAACCGAACAATCATA